ATCTCACTAAAAAGACTCACTGCTATAACATCAATTCCAACCCTACAGGACAGGGTAGAACTGCCCCTGTGAGTTTCCAAGACTCTAACTCTTTCCAGGAGTAGAAAAATCCCATTTTCCTCTCACTGAGTTAATCTAGGGTATGCAAAATGAATCAGAGGTCTTGAGAACAGTTGTCTCTGGCCATGTTGTAAGCATGGGGCAATTGGGTGAAGTGGCCACGCCGGCAGCCATCCTGGGGAGCCAGCGCTGGGTGTCATGCACAAGAGCAGCATTTGTTGAGGAACTGGGTGTTGTGTCAGGTCACAGATGTGGGGGTGATGCCCATGCACCAGAGAAGACAGGTCCTGGGAGTGTGATATGCACAACGGTTTCATGGAGGCCCACGCTCCTGCTGGGCAGCCACAAAGTGCAGCGGGGTGCCTGGCAGCCCTAGGGCAGTCACAGGTCCCTGTGTCGCCCGCCGGGGGACTTTGCAGAATGCATCTTGTTCTTGCCCCTCTCACCTCTTGGCTGGCGTCTTCTGAGTAGCTCCTGCTCCTTCTCAAAGACCCTGCCCCCACCCCCACCCCCGGGTGCTGCTGCCCACCTTGCAGGGCTGCTCCTTTCTTCATCAGGGACTGTGCTGCTGCCGCCAGGATGGCCCGCTTGCTTTAGTGGGGAATGAAATGCATTCCCTGAACATGAAAGTACCCTCCCCCTGCCGGGCTGTGGTGTCATGGTGGCCGCATTGCTGGGATGAGTGGGGTGAATGCTCGGCCAGGTGGAGCTCACCCCCATCTTCCGTACCACCGTTCCTTCTCCTTAAAGAAAAGCCACCACTGCTGGTCTGATGCTGATCCAAGTGTTGGCACGCTACAAATTAAAAAGATAGAGAGGGAAAAAAACTGTTCTCTCTTTGGGAAAGATGGGCACGGAGGCTGGAGCACTGGGGGAATGACCGCACATTCGTGATGAGTAGAAGAAATTGCCCTCTCCTGTGGGCGGTGCAGCCTGTTGGCTGCCTCACACAGGTCTCGGTGTGCACAGCCAGGGCCTCCGTGCCTGCTCCTGCTCGTTCCGTCTGCGTGGCTTTGGGCAGTGCCCAACCTCCCCAACGAGGCTCAGCAGCCCTGGTTAGACCAGTCCATCCGTTGTTATCTCCGAGGGGAAGCTGAACATCTACTCTGCATTCAGATCCTACGACTTACTCCAAATGGGCGCAGGGCCGATGCATTTCAGATCAAATCAGAAGAACCGGGATAGTTTCCTTCTTAACAACTCTGGTGAGGAAACACACCATGCAGACTGTTTGTTTTGTTGAATTAGGTGGCAAATATGCAACGTGCGTGTGTCTCACAAGCCTCGAATACAAAAGGGAGGTTGTTACCCCTCACCTATCCTTGAACAAATGTGCTTTACGTGCGGATCGCCAGATCCGGGGCCACCAGAAGCTAATGGTGAAAAAGACAGCTCTCATCTCTGTCTAGAGAAATCCCCTGGGGGGCCCGGGGTGTGGGAAGGAAGTCAGAATCGGCCCCTCCCGATCATGATAAAGCCATCCTGCTCTGTGCCAATGTCCTAGACCACCAAGCAGGAGGAGTCGGGCCAGTGATGCAGGCGGTTGCCAAGGAAACCGTTCCCTGGACTCGCAGGGACTGGGTGTGTGTGTGTAGGCATGCGGATGATCATTGAGCTTTCCTCTTCTGACTTTGCAAGCGCAGAACACGGAAGGCTTCCCCTTGAAGAGATTCGCTAGGTAATTAGAGTGCCAGAGGTACTTAGGAGAATTAAGAAGGCTAATTAATTGGTCCTTCTGAGAAAGAACAGGCAGGCAGTGAAGACTTTGGAGGTCAAAGCAGCCCTAGCAGCGCAGTGGAGGTGGCTACTGAAGCTTCCCGGTGGCTGTGTGTGCACCCGGAGCCCGGGATGCTTCCACCAGCAAGCAAGAAAAACTCCGAGGGAGAGCTTCCGTGTAGACGACAAAGCAGTGCTTGACAACAGCGCAGGAAGTATGGGACCAATTCTGAATCGATTTTAAGTGTTCCTGTTTATGTTGACCATCCTCTCCCTTGCACCCGAGCTTTCTCAAAAAGGGAGTTGTTGTTAAGTGCCTCTGGGTTGGTTCGACTCCTCGCGATCCCCGCAGCGCAGAAGGAAGCCCGCCCGGTCCTGTGCCCTCCAGTGGCTCCGTTTGAGCCCCGCGGGGCAGCCCCTGGACAGGCCTTCCCCCTTTCCCTGCTCCTCCTCATTACACTTCACCCAGCGTGATGTCCTTTCCAGAGACTGGGCTCTCCTGGTAACAGGTCCAAAGTACCCGACAGTCTCGCCGCACTCGCTTCTCAGAAACATCCAGGCTCTGCTTCTTCCAAGCCAGGTTGGTTTTGCTCAATCTTTAAATCTCTTGATCCCGAAAATCTACATCTAGGATTTCAACTTAAAAGCTTTATTTTAAGTTTAAGGGATATGTGCGAGAATCTGCGAGCTGGAAGCAACAAAATATCCCAGTCAGGAAGCTGCAGGACTGACGCTAAATGGGAGGAGGGACCATCAGGAGCAGTCTTGTTCGAGGCCAGCTGATCCCGTTTGAGAGACACGTGATCTTCTGGCCGTCTGTGGGGCACTAAGCTGCCTCCCAGGAAGGCTTGATTGGATGGTGGGAGGAGGGAAGTAGCTTGGGACCAAATCTAAGCCAAACGCATTGACACGGAGTCAATTCTACGTCATAGCAATGCTGCATAGGGTCTCTGAGATTGTGGCTGACAGCAGAACCACACTGGAATATTCTTGCCCCCTGACAACTACTACTTACCTTTCAGACCCAGCACCTAAGGAAAACCACTTCAGATGTGAGCAGACATAGCTTTCGTTCTCTTTAAAATCAACACCAATCTGAATTTTTGGAGCATTTTCCAAACATAGGTCCCACCAGATCATTTTATGGACAAATATGAAGATCAGGTAAATTTACATGAGGGAGCGTCTAAGAGCTCCTGGGAAAATTCTATTATCTTTTCATTCTGCTTTTCCACGAACTTTTGAATATCGTTCGTATATTGCATCTGGTACAGATCTAGTTTCTTCCCTCTTTTTCTTTTCTTTCAGCCCTTTGAAGACAACTATCTTAGGAGCCTGGACTTCTGTATTTGGAAGGAGGATTAAAGGCAGGGGGATTAGTAGTCCTAGTAGAAGATCATTACCCAGGAGGCAGAATGCTGGGGTTCCAGACATGGTCCCTTTGAGGATTTGTCCTTGTTGACAAAACAAAGATCAGCCTTTTTTGCCGTCCAGGGTTTCTGTAAGAACCAGCTTAGATGGCATTTGCAAAAGGGTCACGAGAGCTGTAAATTGCAGAGCTTGGAACTGGTTCTTTGGACCCTCCAGGGAATATCCACTTCCACCTCAAATAATAGGGAATCAAAATCCTTATTTCAACTAGATCCATATGAATCACCGGGGGATCTGGTTATAATTTTGATTCAGTATATGTGGAGTGGAAAAGCAAATTCTCAGCAATTGTCAAACAGGAATGAGCCGGTTTCAAGCCCTGATAAAAAGTCACAGGGAGCCCTGGTAGATCGTGGCAGTTCTATGCTGTCCTATAGGGTTCCTAAATGCCATCGGCATCAAGTCGATGGCAGTGAGTTTTTGTGTGGGGTATGCACTGCTAACCTCACAAGATTGGTGGTTTGAGACTTTCAGCTACTCTGCAGAAGGATGAGGCTGTCTGTTCCCATATACATTCAAAGTCTTGAAACCCGAAGAGGACAGTTCTACCCTGCTCTACAGGGTTGCTATGAGTCTGAGCCAGTTCCCCGGCAGTGTGTTTGGGATAGGGCATTGCTATACCAAACCAAATTCACTGCCGTCTCTATTCTGACTCGTAGTGACCCTACAAGACAGAGTACAGCTGCTCCTTTGGGTTTCGGAGGCTGTACATCATTGGAGGAGTAGAAAGCTCCATCTTCCTCCTGTGGAGTTGGCTAGTAGGCTCGAACGGATGGCCTTTTGGTTAGCAACCCAACGTGCCATCCACTGTGCCACCAGGGCTCCCATGTCGAGTAGTATGACTTCTTAAAGACAAACCTGCGTGGGCTTTTAATAAGCCGAGAGTTCATGGGTTCGCTGCTTTTACAAGACTGCTGTGGCCAAGCCCTGGGAACAAGAACATTCTCCTTTGTCTCATGGAGCCATCTGCTGCTCAGTGTAAAACCGTGAGCTGCAGGGTTAAGTCTTGAGCCTGCTGACTGCAGTCTGGACTTGAACATCCCTTCCCGTACACCCCACACTCGGCGCACATGCCTATCTTCCCATTCTAAGAATGTGTGCCTGCCTGGTGCTCCTCCTCCTCCTCCACAAGGTCCCCTCTGCCAGGAACACCCTCTCCCCCATCCCTTCCACCCGTCTCGCCCTGGGGCAGTGTTTCTCACAGGGGTCCTTGGCTAGAAGTAGCCGTCTCATCTGGGAACCTTTTAGAAATAAAATTCTGGGGCCCTTCCCCAGAAATCAGGTGAGGCTGTGGCGTCAGAGCCCCTGCCCTCTGTGTGATCTAGAGCAGCAGAGGAGTCTGGTGCATGGCAGGCACTGATTCTCTTGCATTGAAAAGTCCTGGTGCCACGGCCATGCTCAGAAGCTGTAGGGTGGGGGTGGGGCATGGGGGGAATCTTAGAACCAGCATTTTCTAAAGCTCCCCAGGTGATGCCAATAAGTAGTCCGCCTGAAGAACTACCTTCCCAGAGTGGCTTAGCTCCATTAGTCCCGGGCTCCCACAGCACCCTGTGCGTCTGGTCCCCTACCACTCATGCTGCCAGCGCCACCAGGACCTGCCTGACCGTCCATGCCCCCGAGTGTTGCCTGGATATGTCAAACTGGGCTTTGACTGGAAGTTGTGTCCGAGGGATTAGAAAACAGGATCCCCAAAGGATTCCAACGTGGTGCTGTCCAGTGTGACTGGGGGGAATTGGACGGCAGCAGCGGAGCAGCTCCACCGTGTTCAGCATGAAGGAAGACAGTCCTGCCAGGAGGGAGACAAATCCAAGTGTCCGAACACCACCCGGGGACCATGAGTCCCAGCCAAGCCACAGCTCCTCTTCCCGCTTTCTTACCTGCCCACTAGGCCCTTCCGCTGCAGGTGAGTGCTTTTAGATGCAGGCACGCCTGGCATGTGCTTATTTCCTCTGTGCAGCAAATCAGGTGAATTCCAGACCCTCCCTGGCTCCAGTTTAAATTCTCTCGGCAGGCCCATAGTTTACCCTGGTTTTCCCGCGGCTGTTTTATTCCGAGCAGACTCAGTACTGAAGGGTCACATTTGCTTCTTCCATGATGATTTTTTTTTTCTAAGCTGGTGACTTTGGTTACATTCTTATTTGACTTTGAATGTCATTTGGAATTGAGGGATAAAATCCATGAAATGAAAGTATGGATATTAAAAATAGAGCAGAAAATGGATTATTTGGCCCTGCTTAAAAAAAAAAGCAGCATCTCTTTAGAGTAAAATGTACCGAGATGTTCTTTGCAAAAAAACCCCTCAAAAGTTAGTTCCCCTCTCTCTCCCCCCACCCCCACTCCTTTCTGCAATTCTTCAGCCACCAAGCCCATTGTCTGGTATGCCAAGAATGGAGCCACAAAGGTTAAGCTGCTGTAATTCATTGAACAGTGTTATAAAATGCTTTACTGGTTCTGAAATGTTACTGTTGTTAAAAATGAAAGGCTTTTCTTTTTGATGTATTTACCCTTTGAAGGCGATCCAACTCAAGGGGGTGTTCACGTGTGTGTTGGTGCATATAGTCACAAATGCTTATGAATGAACATAATAAAGACATTTTGCTCTTTTCAACTCCTTATAAAAAGACATACTTTTATGTTTTTTAAAAAGTTTCCATGTAAAAAACGTCCTAGCGCTTTTATTAATATTGTTGGCAAATAGAGTCATGAGGGAAACGTGTTTTTCGCTTGGTCCTCTGAGACTGTGCACCGGCAGCTCTTGGTCCTGGGGGCTGACATCCTAACTTGCCAGTTTGGGGACCGACTAGTGGTCATCGCCTCCCAGCAGACTCAGTTCAGGATTTGCTTCTGTTACATCTCGCCAGTAGGGAAGCAACAAGGGCAGGGGAGAGAGCTTCTTCTCCAACAGAGGCCACAGGTGTGAGAGGAGAAATTCATTCCCCTTTGGTGACAAATGTAGTCCACCTGTTAAGTAGGATGAGAAATCCTGATTGTCCTTCTGCCTCAGGGTCCACAGGTCAAGGACATCAGTCTGCAGGCTTGAGCTACTTGTAAACAGGCGCATATTCACCAGTAACCAAGTGTAGGTGATTTAATTTGTAACCTTGTAGGCAGCACTCCTTTTCCCACGCTGTCTCACAAAGAGGCGGTGGCGTGATGAGGATCACTCTGTTCTCCGGGATGTCCACAGACTTCAGGTACTGCACTACGCTCCTCCAGTGGGATGCGTTGCTTAGGATTCTCATCTTTTAAAGCACTGTCACTGGCGCCAAAGAAAACCCTAACCGCTACAGGGTGGTCCAGACCGCTACCCTTCCCAACGATTCTTGGGATAATGATTTTGGCCCATCTGGTATTGTAGCCTGAAAACCCCAGGTTCAGAACATCACACTTTCTGGGTGATGGAGTCTCCAAAGAGCAACATGTGAGGCCAAAGCAGGGAGCTCCGGCAGCCGGCCACCTCAGAGAGCACCTTTGAGGGACTGCTTTTACATTCATGCTTGCAGTACTTAGGCTTCTCTTTGTAATGTAGAGAACTCACATGCATTCATCCAGTTGGCCAATTCTTTCAATGTAAGACAGACCTTCTGTGAGGTTGGAGCTCTGATGGCATAGTGGGTTATGCTTTGGGTCACTAAACACAAAGTTGATGGTTCAAAGCCACCAGCAGCTCCTTGGAATAAATGTGAGGCTTTCTGGTTCTGTAAAGATTTACAGCCTTGGAAACCCACAAGGGAAGTTCTACTCTGTCTTACAGGGTCACTATGAATCAAAATAGACTTGGTAACGGTGAGTTGTGGTGGCATAGGGTCTGTAATGGGGGACTGATAGGCATAGTCCCTGCCCTGATGTGGTTGGCTGTGTACTATTGTTAGCGCCTGCAGAAGTCATTGGTGAAATTACTTTTGCTTCTAGGCATCATCGAATCATTCTTGACTTAAGGTTGGGTGTGTGCGTGTGCGTGTGTGTGTGTGTGTGTGTGTGTGTGTGTGTGGTGTATCTCTGTCTTATTTTTGAAGCTGATTACCTCTCTTTCCCTTCCACCACCCTTCGATGAAGTCCCTAACTTTACCAGTCCATTCCCAAGTGGACGTCACAAAACAATCTGGCGATTCTACAGCGGTGGAAATCAAATGTCCATGCCCCAAATTGTCTGATTGGTGAGAACAAATGAGATGCTGCATAATTCATGCATTAAAAATCCCTCTGGGGCTTTATGTGCTTAGCTCTATTAAAGAGAGCTGCTCAAGAAAATTTAAAATTAATAGATTCTATCTGCTTTTCCTATTGTTTTTGAAGTCTGTCACAGAGGAGGATTATGCAAATGGCTGCCATGCTGCTGCCTGCCACACTCACCCAGGGAGCTCGTGTGTTCTGACTTGTGTCTCAGACAGAAATCTTTATCTGGAGCAGCTCTGGCCCAGCTGTTGGCAGGAGCGTGTTCTTTCCTTCGGATGGTTCGTTTAGGGCTGAGAGGCACGGTCCCCCTCCTTGGGTGGCTGGCGGGGGGGCGGGGGGAGTTGGAGGGGTGGCAGGACAAAGAACTGGGAAGGATTCCAGAGTAAATGCCTTGGTCCAGATTTTTAAAATCAGCCCTCTTTTTCTGGGAGCATCTAGTACTTTTTCTCCTTGTCCCTGAGTGGACTATCAAGTGACCTTCAGGATCAGATAGCTTTAACCTCTTTGCTGTAGTCCAGCTTCATCAGTCTTCCTGCTCTGTTCTCCTCTGCAAAACACCACCACGGCAGTCGTTGTCACATGACACCCCACTGCTTCCGAATCTGACATGGCTCCCTATCACCTCTGGGATCCAAGTTTAACCCCTCAAGTTGCCGGAAGCTCTGCCATCAATTGATTCCTGCATTCACGCTTGTCTCTTGATCATTTCGAAAGCCATGATCCTGCTGTTGCAGCCAGGCCGGTCTTTTGATGTCTGGCTCATTCATTCATCTATTAATTAAATAGATGGAATGACCAGCAAGTTCTGTCTGGCTGGAAGATGCTCTGAGTTATACTTCGAGCACCACAATTCAAATGCTTCATTCTCTGTCAGTCTTCCTTGTTCAATCTCCAACTTTTACCTGCACACGAGGCCATTGAAAACACCCCGGCTTGGATCAGGCACACCTTTGTCCTCAAAGCAGTGCCGGAGAAGAAGGCTGAAGATGCTATGGCGTGCTCTGAGGACAGACTGAGCTGTTGGAGGAAGTATGGCCAGAGGGTACCTTGCAGGCAAGGATGGTGAGACTCCGTCTCACATACTTGGGACCCGGGAGAAGGACATCATATTAGGTGAAGTGGAGGGGCAGCCATAAAGAGGAAGGCCCTCAACCAGATGGATTGACCCAGTGGCTGCAACAGTGGGTTCAGGCACAGGCACGGTTGTGAGGATGCTGTAGGGCCAGTCTGTTCTGCATTCGGTCCCTAAGGGTCGAACTGACTGGATGGCACCTAACAACAGCATACTGTGAGCCTTTCTTAAGAGCAACACTACCGAGGATACAGGAGTTTAGAGAACAGGGTCCCTGCAGGGTCTTACGATAGTACGCAGACGTGGAAGAGGCTGTCATGACGGGCAGTGGCAAGATCTTCATCCTCTAAAGCACACTCTTCTCTGCTTGTTTCTTGGCTCTGGATGCCCCGCCTGCCTCATCTGCCCTCCCCTTTTCCCATCTCCCTTCAAACCCATACCCGAATCTCCCCGCCTCAGCAAGCCTTCTGCTCTCCGTCCTGGGGCACATCTACTCTCCCTCCGCACTGAAGGACACAGCTTCTTAGAAGTTGTGTGATCTTGGCTGCCTGCTGGTTTGCAGTGTTTACCGCTCTTCCTGAGGGAGCCTCGGTGTCCCCTGGGCTGGGCCACAGGAGTAGCTCCTTGCAGGTAGGGCGGCCCTGCCTCCATGCCCCCTGCTCTGTCCTGTGGGGATGCTCTTCAACTGCCACTTCTCTTTGCTTAGGAGTTCAGCTCAGGACTTCAGGAGTCTCCCCTGGAAAACTGAACTTCCCTGCAGGCCTGGGCTGAGCCCTTGCCCCAGAGCAAATCAGGATGAGTTTTGACTGTGTGCCAAGTCTCTGTCTGGATCAAAAGGTGTTTTGACCTCGATCAGGGATCGACAAACTCCTGAGCCGTAAGAGCCCATACTTGTCCCTCACAGCGTTAAACAATTATTCGAGAATAGAGTTGTGCAAACGAATGAAATTGCCCTTATCGGAAGAATTCGTTGGACCAGGTTTCTGTTTGCCTTCAGCCACGGGGAGACACACATCCATAGAGCGGGCCCTGACTTGGATGGTTGTGGCAGTGGTGGCCCGGGGCTGTCCAGCTGAGGCAGCTCGGGAGGACGCGGTTGGGAACATTGCATGCCTGGGACAGTGGTCATGGATCTGCTCTCCTGCTTGTAGGAGGTATGTAGCCATTAAAACCAGAACAAGCCGGTGACCATCACACCAGCCTCATGGGGAGCCAGCGGGGAGAGCCGAGCAGCCCCAAAGTGGTTCCGAGGCCGTGAATCTTTACCGAAGAAGATGGATGGCCGCTTCCTCCTCCTGCGGGAGGGCCGGTGGGTGCAAGCTGCTGGCCGTCCGGTTACCAGCTGGATGCTTCACCTCTGCGCAGCCAGCGCCCCTTTCCCTACCAAGCAGCTTCACCGTATCCTTACTCTGCCCAAGAGTGAAGCACAGGCCCAGCGTGCCCCTCACCCCGCAACAGTCCTAGGCTACCACCGGCTGGCACCTGACCTGAAGAAGGTCCTGCAGCGACAATGTGCCCTGCCGTCGGGCCCAGGCACTCCTCAAAGACACCCTTTTCTGGGCTTGAGGTGCTTGTTCTGCTGGGTTTGGGAGAAATGAACATCTGATGTCAGATAAGCCGGACTCGGAAAATAGGTCATTGATGGGGGTGGCAGT